TCAAAACTGCTCAAAAGTTCTATCGATAGACGTCTTCTGTTCCTAATTAGATCCTTGTACAACCAGACCTCTAGTCAGGTCAGGTGTGGTCTGCAGAGATCCCGATTAAGAATGGAATAAGGCAGGGTTGTGTTCTGGCTCCTCTTTTGTTTAATTTATTCTTATCTGACTTGGCCTTTCACATTGGATATATTGAGTCCCACACCCCAAAGTTGTCAACTACGAAGATCCCGCTTCTCCTTTGTGCTGACGATGCGGCCCTCCTTTCATTGTCAAGGCCAGGTCTGAAAAGATTACTTTCTGCATTTGGGTCTTACTGTGCTGAGAACCACTTGTCCATTAATTATGACAAATCCAAAGTATTGGTGTTCTCTAGAGCCTGGAAATTGTATAACTGGGCTATCAATGATAATGCTGTTAGGCAGGTTTTCCATTTTAAGTATTTTGGTATTCAATTTTAGAACACTGGTGCTTGGACTAAACATCGAACCCAGGTGCTGCATTTGGCCTCCTTTAGTCACCAGCAGATTTTAAGATTTTTTTATACCCAAGGAGTCCAGTTTATTCCTTCTGCTTTGCATATTTACAGAGTCAAAACTTTGGCTCAAACTCTTTATGGAGTTCCCATATGGATACAGGACTTCAAGGATTGTATTGAAAGAACCCAGGCTGTCTTTTTTAGAAAACCTCTGGGTCTTCCTCCTTGTGTTGGTTTTGCTCCGATGTACCTGGAACTGGGCACTCGATCAGTCGAATGTATGGCATGGATTAACACCTTTAAATGGTGGTTTTAGGTGCTCTTTCTGGCAGTTCCTGGTAGCTACCTCTCCCTGGCGTTTGCTGACTCTCATATTTCTCATTGGGAGAGGGAACTCCCAATTTAGGGTAGTCCAACAGCTTGTGGACATTGACTTGCAATATCTACAAGATAAATGAGCGGTTATGCCCCTGTGACAGAGCTGAGGTTGAAACTGTGGAGCATGACCTTTTATATTGCCCTGTGTATAACGCAGGCAGATGTAAGTTACTGTCTCTCCTTGAAACAGACCCTTCTCGACCCAATGTTAGTAATTTGTTCTTGTAATGTCTAGGGGATGGCTCCTCATACATCACTTCTCTGGTTTCCATTTTTTTTTTTTAAGAGATGTAACCATCAGAGGAAAATGTTGTAATTCCCTTTAGTCAAGTTTTTGGTGACCAATTGTTCATGATTAATTTTCCCCTGTTCTTTTGTTGTACTTGTGTTTGGGTCTGTGACCACAAATAAAGTATTATTATAGGTTGTAATCAGTGGAAAAAAAAGCTTAAAAAGAGAGTCCTCCCAGGCCCTTTGCAGAGATGCCTTGTTGAAATGGCATACCTTTTGGTAGATAAGCAGATTTAAGAAGAGTTGAAAGGGACCTTGGAGGTCTTCTAGTACAACCCCCAGCTCAGGCAAGAGAACTGAGGATGCCAAACTCTGAGTAGAAATCCTGAGAAAGGTGTCAGAATGATACTTAGAAGGGACCTTGGGGTGAACCCTATACCATTTCAGAGAAATGGCTGTCCAGTCTTTTCTTTAAAACTTCCAGTGTTGGAGCACCCAGAACTTCTGGAGACAGGCAGTTCCACTGGTTAATTGTTCTCGCTGTCAGGAAGTTTCTCTTTAGTTTTAGGTTGCTTCTCTCTGTTCAGTTTCCATCCATTGCTTCTTGTTTGCCTTCTGCTTCTTTGGAAAATACATTGTCCCCCTTTCTTTGTGGCAGCCCTTTAAAAGCCTGTTGCCTATCACCCTCTTGAGTAAAGCATGTGAGCCATTTCCTCCTTTCAGTGGTCCATGAAGGTACATCTATAGTATGCAGATAATAAAGTCAAAAAAGGTGAACAACATTTTTACACAATTATAGATAAATTGAGGCTGGGGGTGAGAAGGAATGGCTGGGAGGGGAGGGGCCAGGTGAGGTACCCCTTGATGTGAGTGACATTGAGTTGGCCACACCCACCCAGTCACATGACCACCAAGCCACACCCACCAAATAAGCCACGCCCACAGAACTGGTAGTAAAAAAATTGAATTCCACCACTGCACATACACACATACTCCCTTCTAACCCTGCTGGAGCAGGTCATTGGACTAGAATCAGCAAAGCATCTCTGATTAGATTCTAGTAGTGAATAGAATCTAATCAGAGATGCTTTGCCAATTCTTGTTGATTTATTTTATTTGTATTTATTTTATGTTGCTGAATTGCATTGACATGTGTGTCCCTTCTTGTGCACAACTCAGAAGCTTTTGTGATTCTTTGCAGCAAAAATTACTGAGCTCTAGTTTTGCTCTACTTTTCAAACATGCTGCCACTGCCGCGTTCTAGGTGCCGGCCCTGCAGATCCACCCCATTGAGCCCGCTGCACTGGAGGGACCTGCCCAAGCAAGTCCAAGCGGAGCGGTGCACCAAGTAAGTGGGGTGAGCCTCAGACAGAAAAAGAGAGAGAGAGAAAAGAAAAAGAGAGAAGGAAGAAGAGAAAGAGAAAAGGGAATGAAAAAAAAGGGACAAAGAAAGGGAAGGAAGGGACAGAAAGAAAAAGAAATAAAGGAGGGAGGGAGGAGAAAGATAATGAGATATCTATTCTAGTCCAATCACCTGCTCCAGCGGGGTTAGAAGGGAGTGTGTGTGTGTGTTCTCCTTGTAATTTACCAGTACATTTTGGTTTTGCCTTTTTCAGAATTGGTACTGTAATACATTGGGGAAGAGTAATTTTTAGGGTGGAGATCTGGTCCAGTGGATCCTGTGTAAAGCCTCAACAAAATGTGAGAGCTTCCTTTTTAAAAAATTTTTTTATTGATTTTTAAGAACAAATATACACAAATAAAACATAAAACATAAAAATATAAAACATCTTTTTTGAAAGCAGCTTCATCCTGCGTTACATCTCTTCGTACAGACACAAATTCAAGTTCATGCTCATTTTTATATACCATTCCATATCTCATTACCATTCTACATTTTCTATATAGCTTCTCCCCTCTTTTAACTTTCTTTATTTTATTTTATTTATTTCATCTCGATTCAAATCATTATACTTATATTCTTTTTCTGTCCTGTTTCAGCTATTATCTTTTCTCATTAAACAAAATTTCTCCTGTAATCACTGATTGGAGTATAACGCCTTTATATCTTTCCCCTAAAATTATAACACTTAATATAATACATAACTTCTGTTCGGATTCTGCTTGGCACATTCTAAAACTACACACTGTATTTTAAAAAAAGAAAAAATTATAAGTAAATAATATGATTAAAACAATAATCCATACCAATTCAATTCTATCGTTAATATTAATATTCATTTAGCTCTTAAACATTTTCCACATTTGTTTTCAAATAGGTATCATACTTCTATGGGAACACTTATAAACTTTCCATAGTTACTTCCCCCCCCACTTCACTTATATTTTATAAAACATTGAATAATTAAAATGTTCCCATTCCTTCCTAGTTCGATTTTCTCATTTATTTCATTTATTTTGTTCATAAAAGTTTCACTGAGTTACACTGACTATTTTATCCCTTTTTAAAATCATATGTTATTTCCAATTTTCTAACATTATTTCTAATACAAATATAACAACACAATATTATGTACCTTTGCAGAATCACTTTTTCAGTTAAATTTTCACATATTATCTCTGAATAAGTCCTGTTTCTTTACATCTTGCTCCAAACCTTTGTAACTTCTCTTCCCTTCCTCCCTCCCTTCCTTCTCTCTCCCCTTTTTACCCCCTTGTCTCTCCACCTCCATTTCCCTCTTCTGTATTCCCCTTTTCTGTTGCTTTCTAACATTATATCCATTTTTCACATTATTTTTCCCTTTTTTGGTTTTTTTGGGGGGTCTTAAATTCTCCACTCTCTTTCCCTCCTTTCCCCTTTCTTCCCCAGATAAAGTTACTTGTTTATCAAAGATGGCTTCTTCTTTGTCCCAATCTTCTTGTTGCGTAGTCTTTTCTTGTAGCTTCTCGTAGGTACAGATCGCCATTTCTAAAAATTGAAAAACAGAGCCAGAAGAGCCCTTCCCTTCTTGTTCCTCTTTATATTTTTTAAATTCCATTTTCAGTTCATCCAGAAGTAGAATGTTTTTAAACAACCACCCAATTGTTTTTAGTCATTCAGATATAATTTCCAAAAGTCCCAAAGTCACCAAGCAATCCAAATACACGCAAGCTGTTTCTTTTAGCACTTTCTTCTTTTTTCACTTTCTCTTCCTGGGGTTACTATTTAGTTGCAAAGTTCCAGTTAAAATGTATCTTTTAAAAGTCTTGTTTAGATTTAACTTTAAATTCTTTTAAATTCCAGGCAGGCTCCTCCTTCCAAATCCTGCTCTTATTCTTTTCCTCTCCCTTCCCACTTACAGCAAAAAAAAGGATTTTTTTAATATTCAGAAATCTTTATTGTCCCCTTGGCATTTAATTATATTTCCAGTTTAATTACCTATTGGTGCCAAAGCGGGTTTTTCTGATTTCTCATTCATCTGTCTTTGCTGTCACCATAAGGAAGGAGAGTGAAAAAAAAAAACCTTTCCCTTTTCACTTTCATTCGCTGCTTCCGAATCTTCTTTGGGAGAGATGTATCTTTTACAAATTTTTAATTCCAGGATACCTTGGTTGTTGCTTCTTATCCCGGTCAGCCAAAACTCTCACCTCTTAACTTCCTCCTGCACTTTCTTTTCCGGATGAGTGCTTCTTTGAGGCGGCCATTTCTGACCACCACTCTTACTGCCTTCGGGAAAGGGAGTTTAGCCAGCTGAGGAGGAGAGATGCGGCTTTCCTCGACCCTGCTGGGATCTCCCCCATCTTCACCACCTCTACGGGGTGGCTTAGCCCCGAAGCCAAACTGGCTCAGGGTGCTCCAGTGGTGAGCCCAGGAAGAAACCGTGCACGATTGTGGATTCCTGCCTGTCGCCGAAGCCCTGCAAACCGGAAGCTCGTGAGAGCTTCCTGATAGTCTTGACCATGTTTCATCCACAAAACCTTTCATAGAAGCCAAAGAGGTTTCAATGTGCTGGTGAAGATGTTTCAATGTGGAAAAGGGCCTCAGTCTAAACTAGCCTCATTTCAATCTGATGCATCAGGTCTCTCTCTCTCTCCCTCCCTCCCTCCCTCCCTCCTTCCCAGACTGACTTTGCTCTACTTTCCTGATGTGCTGGCGGGGCTTTGAACATGGATGGATGGATGAATGGATAGCTAGATAGAGAGAGACAGAGAGAGACAGAGACAGAGACAAAGAGAGACAGGTAGGTAGGTAGGTAGGTAGGAAGGTAGATAGATAGATAGATTGGTAGATAGATAGGTAGGTAGGTAGGTAGGTAGGCAGGCAGGTAGGAAGACAGACAGATCTTTTGGATGGATGGATGGATAGATTGGTAGGTAGGTAGGTAGATAGATAGATCTATATTGGTAAATAGATAGATCGGTAGGTAGGTAGACAGAAAGAAAGACAGGCAGGCAGGCAGGTAGGTAGGTAGGTAGGAAGGCAGACAGACAGATTGACAGAAAGACAGACTGCAACAGTGGCAGCACTTTGGGAAAGTAGAGCAAAGCCAGAGTGGCTTTGCTCTACTTTCCCAATGTGCTGTCGCTGCTGCATTCTACACGCCGGCTCCACAGGTTCACCCCATTGAGCCCCTTGCACTGCTCTGGTGCAACAGTCAATGGGGTGAGCCTGTGGAGCTGGCACCTCGAATGCCCCCCTGCCACCTCTTAGCCACCCCCTTAAGGCATCCCACCGCCCCCAGGAGGGTACCGCCCATTTTGGGAACCACTGGACTAGAAGGTCCCTTCCAACTCTGTCCTTTGTTATTCCTGACAGCTGACCTGGGAGAGCTCCAGTGAGCTGTTTTGATGACCTCTCTGGCATTTTCTTTCCCAGGCAGCTGCCAGGGCCAACCATCTGATAGTATCTGGGCCACACACTACTGTGGCTCTTTCATCCAGCAGCAGGTTGGGAATACTTGGGCCTCCCCATTTCTCCTTAGCCTCCCATTTCAAATTCAATCCTATTGCATAGTTCTTGATTTCAGTTCCTTGGGAAAGAGTGTGGAGGAAGTCAGCTGCTGCTTCTCTCAGCCATCATCTTCTCAAGATTGTATGTGTTTATTAAATTTGTATGTCACCCATCTCACTGTCGAGCAACATGGGCAGCTTGGATGACAAAAAAGATAGTTAGATTTTTATTTGTTATATATGAAGATTCTCAACCCCCCGATTGTCCCAAAGATGCTGTTGGAAGAAATATCATTCTGGGTTCAGTTCCAAGTGGGGAAGAAAGACACAGGAAACATGACGGCTGTTTGGAAAGATGGTTTAATGGTAGACAGGATCACATGCCTCAAGTGAAGAAAGAAGGGCAGAGCTGCTGAGAATCCTTTGGTTTTATGCCCTCTGTTGGGATTTGAATTTGAGCTTGTATTCTGATTGGTTGTCAGACTCTCATGGGGCCATGCAGGGGCAACTCTGTAGGCTGTCCTGAGTCCCAGGCTTGGCTGAGCCTTGCTGGATGATGATGTAATGAAAGGGCTTTGGGCAATTCCTATTATAGCTTTACCTGGAGCAGATCTTTGTTATGTAAAATAGACTGGCCTAGGCCAGAGTAATGGCCCATTAGCAAAGGTGCGGGGGCTGAGTTTCTGCTTCTGAGTTTCTACTTTTCTTTTTTAGGGGAAATATTCTGCCTTTTTAGTATATCCTAAAATGTTTCATTTTCCTAGGAGCGGGGTGGGTGCTAACTTCCAACAATCCCCCCCCTTTTGCCAAAATATGTGGGTGGAACACGTATATTATTGGCAAAACATTAAAAATTGATTAAATCAGGGAGACTTAATGGGTGCTTTTAATTTTTCTGCTGCAAAGGGGGAAGGCATCGGAAAAAAGAGGCAACAGAAAAGGATTCCTTCAGTGGCTCCCAAAAGTTTTCATCCATGAAGGTCTAGCAGCCTAGGAAAAGTTCGGGGGTGGAGGGTGGGGGGGGGTTGGGTTACAGTATCCAATTTTTCATGTCAATTAATTTTCAGATGTTTGATGTACTTTTTGTGAGCTTACAGTCAGGTTGTAAGCACAAGCTGCTACATTCTTCACAGCAATGGTTTGCCTTTAAATTACAGGCTGCCCATTTCCAGGGATGGTTACTAATCCTGCCTAGCTCTTAGCTTCCAGGGTTTGTGATGCCAAATTGAGGTTAGCCAGTGTGTAATCCAGGCTATTTAGTATTTTTAAAATTACAAACAATGAGCCCCGGGACACCTACTGCTGAGACTACCAGTGCAACATATCCTGCTTTACTGGGCCACATCACTTGTGAGTCACAGTCAGAGTTTGGGGTTTGGAGATCTCTTTTCTGCTATCTCTTCAAGTGAGGGAATTGCCTGAGGGGATGCCACCTCCCCCATGGAATTAACAGGGAGATATGACTACTTGGGCCTTAGTGCCACAGAGCAACAAAATAAATAAATAATAAACACACACACAAAAAGGAAGCTAGGAGCAGCTTTGTGTGGAGGTAAGTGAAGTGGGTAATCTCTGTCTAATTCTGAATGGTGTCTCTCTCTGTGTGTGCTTGTGTATGCAGCTACTTTTACAATACAGACAATACAAACATGCTGGACAATTTTTCCGCCCACCAGATAGAAGTCCAAAGTGTTCAGAACTTGCTGGGCCAGCCACTCAAATATAATCCTTACATGAGTACATTAGACTGATTACAATATAAATGATACAAGAAAGAAAACATTACAATGAATTTCACATTACAATGCATTCCCACCCCCCACCCCCACCCCCACCCCCCATAATCTTTCTGTCTTCTGGGGATTGATTTTAGTCTTTTACTGGTCCATCTCAGGGTCTTTTCCTTCATGTCTCTGGGTAGCATAGGCTTGGCCTGGTGGTATGGGTGGTCGGTCAGGCTTGGGAAGGTCTGCCCCACTCTGGTTGCTGTGATAACTTTTAGTGGAGGACTGGATCCAAACCCAATTCTTTGGCTCCAATGGATGGAATGTCTCCTCCAGGGGGCAGCATCTGTTTCCACATTTTGCAAGGCTGAAAGATAAAGAACAGGGTCCCCTCCCTCCTTCGCTGGTAATTCTTACCAGGAATGGCCTTGTTTGCAGAGATTGGGGTGGGGTGGGGGGTTAGATAGCTTACAGGCAGGGTTTGGGGAAAAAACAACACATCAGTATCGCAGTTACTAAACAGATAAATCAGTTTCAACAAAATGGAGACACAACATGAGAAAGGAAAAACTAGACTAACATGCTTCAGAAAAAAAGATGAACATGTAAAATCATTTAAACACACAGTAAATGCAAGGATGAAACTTTTTTTGTAATAAACTTAAAACATTTGCTAATAACCTTGTGCTTTTCTTAAAAGCACAGAGGAAAGAAAAATTGAACTCTGTTCTTTATCCAGACTAATTGGCCAGACCAAACTAGGTGAAGACCTAGTTTCCTTACCTTTCCTTTTCCTTTCAGTGCTTCCAACTCTTTTCTAACAATTTAAAATCCACATTTTATAGGGATCAGAGACACTTAACAGTTGCAATTACCTCAAGGACACAAAGACTTACACACACACACACACACACACACACACACACACACACATGTACAAAACAAGGACAAAGAGAGGAAAACAAAACTCTGAGGTTTACACACACACTGAGCATTCCCACAATAAAACTCTCAGTTAAATTGGGGAAGTCACACATCATAAGGAACAAACCTCATGGTTGCATAAGAAAGAAAGAAAGAAAGAAAGAAAGAAAGAAAGAAAGAAAGAAAG